AAAAAAAAAAACACTGCCTTCTTCCTGAGAGTTATGCTTTTTAATTTGAATATATTGTTTTTATTATTATTATTATTATTATTGTTATGAATCACTGAAATTTATGTGGGAATCAGAAGAGGAGAGAGCCATCGGGTTTGGACGTTTATTTGTATACGAAGATATAATCTCTTTTTTATTATTATTTATGTGCAACTCCAAAAATAAAATAGAAAATAATAATAGTAATAAAAGAAAAACTTCATCCTGTTTTCTCCTTGAATAAAAATAAAAATAAAAACTTTTTGTTTCAATTTTTTTTTTATTTTTCTTCTTCTTCTTTGTAGTCTTCTGCATTTTTTTGTTTTTCTTTCCCGTGATTGGGACAAACTGGGTAAGTCAATAAACAAGAGTAAACCGACAGAGCTATGTCATTCGCTGATAATAATCCTTTGGATGGAACGAGGAACCGAAATGGAAATCTTCGAATTGTAAACGGTAACAGTAACCCAAAGCTCGCCAAGGGAATATGTGAAGCTTTGCGTATCCCCATTACAGAGTGCCGTGTTGGTACTTTTGCAAATGGTGAAATCAATGTTAAAATTCTTGAATCCATTCGAGGAGATGACATATTTGTCGTTCAACCAACTTGTGGAAATAATGTCATCAATGTAAATCAAGCAGTCATGGAGCTTCTTCTTATTATTCATACATTAAAATTAAGTTCAGCAAGACGTGTATTTGCCGTCATCCCCCATTATGGTTATGCGCGACAAGACCGTAAACACACTTCTCGAGTTCCCATCAGTGCTTCTGCTGTAGCCCGCATGATTACAGAATTTGGTGTAAACGGTGTCGTTACTATGGATCTTCACTGTGGTCAAATTCAAGGTTTTTTCCATGGTTGCCCCGTAGCGGACCTCAGTGCAACTTCAGAATTTGCAGAATATGCAAAAAGTAAGAACTTTGATATTTCTAATCTTGTTGTTGTAGCTCCAGATGCTGGAGCAGTAAATCGTGCCAGACGTATGGGAGATTGCCTTGGAGCAGGACGCATCGTTACTATTCTTAAAAGACGTGTGGAAGCCAATCAAGTGGACAGCATGCAACTTGTAGGAGATGTCGCAGGTTGTACATGTATTATTGTGGATGATATGATTGATACAGCCGGAACACTTTGCAAAGCAGCAGAAGTTCTAACTGAATATGGTGCAAAGGAAGTGCATGCGTGGGCTACTCATGGTATTCTCACAGATCCAGCATGTGAACGTATTACTAAGTGTGAGGCACTTGTGGAGGTTGTGGTAACAGACAGTTTACCACAAGAAGATACTGTTCGTAAGTGTTCAAAGATTAAAATTATCTCTATTGCAAATCTGCTGGCAGAAGCGATTCACCGTATTCACTCCGAAGAGAGCATTGAACATGTGGGTAATCAACCTGTACCGCAATATCACAATCAGGATTTAATTTCTCTGGATGCCTTAGTAGAAGAAGATGACTGGCCGCAGGGTGCGCAGAGATCCATTAAAAAGCGGAATACAGTGGTTGTCAGCAAATCAAGCAGCAGTGATACCTCGCCGGCGGCACCACAAAGATAGGAAAACTGAAATGCATGAAAACCCTGACACCACTACCTACTCAAAATTGACGAGGGCAACGTAAAAAAGAGAAAGAAAAAAGCAAAAAAAAAAAAATATATATATATATATACACTCTGGTCTCCCTTTACGACTAAGTTAAAGGCAAAAGGGGGTAAGAAAAAAAAAAAAATAAAGATGGTTGAAAAAGAAAAAAAAATTAAAGTGGTTTACTTTTTTTTCGTCCTTTTGTTCTCGAAGATATTACGAATAATCGCATGGTTCTCTGAAGTTTTTTTTATCAGGTACTCAGAGAGTTAGTTGGGATTTTTTATTTTCAACTGCAAGTGAAAGCGATTTAAAAGTGATCATATCTGGTCTCACACGGTGGATGATGAAACATTGAAGGAGATATTGTGTTACCTTTCTTCTCAACAATTTTCTTGTTTTCTTCCCGTTTCGTTTTTTTGTTGTTGTTTTTCTGTTGAGGAAAACTCTGTTGTGAGGACCTCCATTTTTTAAAAAGTGATATGTTCATCTCATTACTTATTTCTTAAGACTCTGTCTTTTCTTTTTGGGATTTGTGAGTAATGGATGAAACTTGTTTGAATTTCTTATTTTTTTTTTGTTTTATTTCTCTTTTTTTTCTTTTTTTTCCCCTTCTTTCTTTGTACGCAAACCATTTTACTCGCATTTTGATTTCTTTTATTATTATAGGAGGACTCAAACGTCAGTGTACACTCTCTTATCACAGATATACGCAAAGGCACAGAAAATTTGTTGTTACTTGTTTTCTTTGCCTAATAACCTAAAAACAAAAAAAAAAATAATAATAATAAAGAAAGAATAGACAGAAGGAAAGGGGGAGAAAGAAGAAGAAAAAGGAAAAGAAATACACACTTAAAAGAGAAAAGATGTTGTTTTCTACACGTTATGCACTCCGCCCCAACTTGGTGGTAGTTGGCACAGGTTGGGCAGGTGCATACTTTGTAAAGAATGTTGATCCCAAGTTGGCAAACCTGCAAGTTCTTTCCTTACGAAACCATCATGTGTTTACACCTCTCCTTCCACAAACGACGACAGGAACCTTGGAATTTCGAGCAATATGTGAACCTATTTCCCGTATTCAACCAGCGCTTGCTGAACTTCCGCATCGTTTTTATCGTTGTGTTGTTTATGGTATTAATTTTGATGAAAAGGAGGTAAACTGTGTTGGGGTTGGAGTTGTTGATGCAGGTTCTAATGTTCCTGTGCAGACGTTTAGTGTAAAGTATGACAAACTCGTCTTGGCACATGGTGCACGTCCGAATACATTTAATGTTCCTGGTGTTATGGACAATGCTTTTTTTCTTCGTGAGGTAAATGAAGCTCGAGGAATTCGTAAGCGTTTGGTACAAAATATTATGGCAGCCGATCTTCCTACAACCAGTATAGAAGAAGCCAAACGCTTATTGCATACTGTGGTTGTAGGAGGAGGACCAATAGGTATTGAATTTGCAGGCACTTTGGCTGATTTTCTTCGCGAAGATGTACGTAAGGTAAATCGTAATCTTGTCAAACACTGCGCTGTAACCGTTCTTGAAGCTGGTGAAGTGTTTGGAACATTTGATCAGCGAGTACGTCAATGGGGTAAAAAGCGTTTAGACGCACTTGGTGTACGTGTTGTAAAGGGTGCTGTGGTTTCTGTAAATGAGAAGGAAGTGGTTACGAAGGATGGTACAGTATTCCCTACTGGACTTGTGGTGTGGGGTACAGGTGTAGGTCCTTCTATACTCACAAAGGACTTGGATTTGGACCGAACATCACGTGGTCGTATTTCCATTGATGATCATCTTCGTGTTCTTCGAAATGGAAAGCCTATTCCTGATGTATTTGCCATAGGAGACTGTGCGGCGAATGAAAAGTTGCCATTACCTACACTTGCCGCGGTTGCCTCACGACAAGGTGTCTACCTTGCAGATAAAGTCAACAAGGAATTAATGAATAAGCCTGCGCCGAAGCCATTTGAATATAAGAGTCTCGGTTCCATGGTAAGTATTGGTGACAGCGCTGCTGTAGTGGAGTTGAACGTTCCCAGAAGGTTTGACTTTGTTGGACTTAAGGCCCTCTACTTTTGGCGCAGTGCCTATCTCAGCATTCTGGGCTCATGGCGCAACAAGCTGTACGTGCTGGTGAACTGGGCGGGAAGTGCCATCTTTGGCCGCGATACCACCTTCATTGGCGATCTCAGCGAGGACCGCATCTGGCGGAGTCTCGCGGCGGAGGAAGTCTCGCGGGAAATGGCCCGCCGTAAGGCCTCTGAGAAACTCAAGACGATGAACGTAAATACGACCATCACCGCAGAGACAGTGGAGAAGGGCGCAGAGCAGGGCTTCATCACTCGCAAGAGCGGTAAGGCAGAGGAAACGAAGACCACTGAGGCTGAGAAGGAAAAAAAGACCACTGAGGCTGAGAAGGAAACGAAGACCACCACGAAACCAGAGAAACAGTAATGTTCTTTGTTTGTTTTATTTTTCTTTCGATTTCTTTTTTTTTTTCTTCCTTTTCCACACTACGGAAAGATTAAAGAAGGGAAGAATTAAAAAGAAGAAATGGGAGATGAATCTATGGATATCGTTGTGGAATCGAGAAATGAGTGGTTTTTTTTTTTTTATTATTCCTTGATAATGGAAGGGGAGTGGGAATGTCGTGAGTCCATTATATGGTTAGCACAACTGGTACATATATTACTATTATATATATATATATATTATTATTATTGTTATTATTATTATTATATTACAGTACATATTATATGTTGACTGTTATATTTTATATTTTCATTAAATAATATTAAAATATAAGGAGAATGAAAGGTGAAAAATAAGGATATTATGAGGATAAATTATGAAGGCGATATTCTCTTTCTTTTTATATATATATTATTATTGCTTGGTCTGATACTCAAATATTTTATGTGTTCCGTACACATGCACATACACTTTTCCAAAACCGCTATCTCTCATATACTACAAGAGGCAGAAGAAGAAGTAAAAAAAAAAAAAAACAAGAGGGAGACGGGTATTTTGGTTTGTGTTCACCTTATTTCACAGTTTTACACTTATATTTTTCTTTTAATGCGGCTCTACCTCCGTGATTTGTGTACTCATTTCTTTTTTATATATTTCTCGTATTCTTGGTGTTGCACTTCCTCCATTATATTATATATGTATATCTTTTTTCTTTTCTTTGTTGTCGTTTTATCCTGAGCCATGTTTTTTTTTTTCTTTTCTTTTGGGAATTGGGGATGGGAAGGGGAGAGTTGTTTTTTTTTTTTTTTTTTTTTTTAAAAAAAAAAAAAAAACCTACTGAAAATATCGTGTTTGTGACCTAAAAGAGGAATTCCTTGTACACACGTACTCCAGTAACAAAAGGTGAGAATATTTGGAATTGTATGAAAAAGAACAAAGCAATGATTAAATGCAAATAATTCGATTATTGCACGTTTTTCCTTTGATGATCTATGAATGTAAAGTGGTGGAAAACGAATGAAGAAGAAAAATAAGAAAAAAAAAAAGATGTATGATCATGTGTATATAATAAAATGAGTGAAACAAAAAAAAAAAGGTGTACACTCTTTCTGGTTCTACTACCGAGTAAGGGTGTGCTCATCTCTCTTCTTATTAAAGATGTTGATGGGAAGATATCTTTTTTGTTTGTTTTCTAATAGGGAGAAAAAGAAGTGCGCGCAATTATGGATAGAATGAGTAAGAGGAGGGGTATGAGAGAAAACAAATTCCTTT